AATCGCGTCGTACTGCTCATCCATCGTATCAAGAGAGAAAGAGGGGGGGAGGGGGGGGAGGGGAGGCGGAAAAATTAATCGCGAACACCAAAGAAATCTCACACGCCCTAATGCAGACCCGGAAAGCAATCGCAAGTCGTTCGATCGGAGCGGAATTGGCGGGGACGTGCGATCAGATGCGAGTTCTGTGGGGTAAACTATAGACAAGATAATGTTGTGACAACAAATCAATAATTTTAATTTTGGTTTACGGGGGTTTTTTCCTGCGATAAAAAAAAAAGTGAAGGGGAGCAAAGAAAAGAACGAAAAGTCGATTGTAAAATGATCAGCTCAAGCTGCAAACAGGAAATTATCCAAGAATCATCCATTGGGTATTCTAATAATATTTGTGGAACGGCGAGTAAAAAAAAACCCTACTTACAACTACCGTTCTTAATGATTTCCCCGTTTAATTCCCATTTCTCTTCTTCTTTCCCAGGATGGTCCTTTTCGGCGTAGGGTTCGCCTGGCGTCGGAGAGACGTCTGGGGCAAAGCCGCTTCGCGCCGCCGCCGATACCGCAAAGGTGGGGTTCAAAAGAAGCATCGATTGGTGCTTTTTCCCCAGCGCGTGCTCCGGCATGAGATGCCATTTCACCGCGCGATCGCAGCGATAGCAATAGGTGAGAACAGGCGGCAATAATAGCCGGCGGGCGTCTGGATCCGTCCGCACGCGCGCCTCCAGAAGCGCCTGGCGATGCCGCGCGGCCTCGCGCAGGGCGAGATCGCGCCGCTGGATGGTCTCCTTCAAGTGGCTCCCCTCCGGGGCGAATTGGGGTTGGGCGAACTTTAAAAGACACTTCGTATCGACAAACTCCTTCATCGCGCTGGTGAGGGTGTGAAGGACGCGTGGGGCGACGTCGGCCCGGCCCAGGGCCCGGAGATGCTGATCGACGGCCATGCTGACGGCCTCAAAGGTGCTTACCCCGCTCGCCCGCGTTCGCTTTCGCAAGGCCGAAAATAAAGCCTCGTATGCCTCGCCAATGATCAACGAAACCCGCGGTAGGGCGCGGGGTAGATGGCGATTCAGCGATAGCGCCTGCCCCCACGTCCCATCCAGCAAGATTAAATGGAATTTGTCCGAAGAAGAGGAAGGGGAAGGGGAAGAGGCGGTCCAACACGCCGCCCTCCCAGCCTCCGAGCCCAGACGCGCTTTAACAAAGCCATCCAGCGCCGGGGCGCCTTCCTCCGGGTAAAGCAAAAGGTGATGAAGGCGGTTGGGGGTGTGGTGAAGGTGGCCTTGGTCCTCCCCCCCCATCCACACCGCCGCGGTGCCCTCGGAAAGGGGCTGAAGTCGCGCCATCGCCGCGTCGTCCGCGGGAACCCCCCACACGCGAAGAGGGGCGCCCAAAAGGTAGGCGGCGAGATGCCCCGTATTGGTACTGCGAAAGACCTCCTCGGGGTGAAAAAGAAGGGTCAGCTCGAAGGCGCCGTTTAAGATCGGCGAAGGAAGCGCCTTGCGATAGGCCCGCAGCCTCGCACACATGCACACTTGCGCGGGAAACCAACACCACAAACACAACCCCCGCGTGTGCGCACGCCAGAGGTTGAGGGAGAGCCGTCGCCGCACTGAGGCCCTTTGCCGCTCCTCCACTGGCGTCCCCGCAAGAAAGGCCTTCCACCGCAAAGTCTCCTCGGGGCTTAAATAAATCGTCGGCTCCGCGGCCTCGTCCGGGGTTCCCCGCGAATTCTCCCCCAGGGCCCCTCCCGAGGTCCCAACTGGGGTGGATTCGCCCTCGCTTTGCCCTTCGAGCTGTGGAAGGTGCGCCGCGATTCGCGCTTTTTCCGCCGCGGTGATCGTCGGCATCGCGGCCTCCGGCGTGCCGTAGCCCTGGAGGCCGACGTACGCCAACAACCGCCGCATGGACTGCCGGTAGGGGTCGAATTCCTCCACTTCTTCAATTAAAGCCATAAAGGGGAAGGGAAATTAACGCGCGCGCGCTAAAAGGAATAAAAAAAAAGAAGGATTCCCGCACACCGTTTCGTGGGGGAATATAGATTAAAAAAAAAATGCTCGGGACTCCGACGGGATGTACACCCGCCACCACGAGGGATGGGGGGTGGAATAGAACACCTAAACGGGGTGATGGAAAGGATCTTTAAAAGAAAAAAGGGTGGGAAAATAATGAAAAGAAGGGAGATCCAGCCCTGCGCAGACACGTTTTCGAAATTAAATACCTAACACTCAACGCAATTGTCATTGCAGATATTAACCATGCTATATGAAAAAACAATGAAGGTCACCTCTATAGTTTACGACTCTAGCAAGGATTCCTTGTCACTTTGCATGGAATTTGCGGTGCTTTGTGAAGATAAAATCCCTCTCAATGAGGGCCATTACAAAAAAAAACTCTGAGTATGAAAAAGAGGATCCCGGGTCCGCAACAAAGATGCACGCCTCTCCCCCCTCCCTTCTTGGTTAAATCTCAGGATAAATCCACTCCCCGGCCTTTGCAGGACGGACAAACCTTTCCTTTGGTTCGTCCGGTGCGCGAGAGTCGGGCGTTGAGAGTGGCCTCCCATTCATTCCCGCAAAGCGTGCACAACCACCACACCAACCGCCGCTGATCCCGCATCTGCACCTGATCGAGGCGGAGATCGCCGTTTTTCAGTGGATGCCACTCCTGTCGGAGAACGTCCTCCTCGCGGGCGAGGAGATCGGCGGACTGGGCGTGCGAGAGGGTGCAAGAAGGGCATTCCGCCTTCCCCCGCACGCGATCGCGAATTCGCGCAGTGTAGGTGGTCCCGCAGGAGGGGCAGCGCCAGTGAGCTCGGGCCCCGCTCCGCCCCTCCACCCTCTCCGGGGTGAGAAAAGGATCGTTCCGGATGGGGTCCCAAAAAGGAATCAACTCGGGATGGGACTCCGTGAGGGTGGGGTGGTGCCGTGCCGTGCAGGAGGGGCATTCCGTTTTGCAGATGCAGCGCACGAAAACGGCGCAGCGCCAGACCTCCCCGCAGCACCCACAGGCCCACGCCGCCACCACCCCGGCGTCGACGGAGAGGGTCTCCACGGGAATCACGTTCGCCGCCCCCGCCGCGCGGTACTCCGCGGCGAATTCGGGGAAAAGATCCGCCATATAACGGCCCTCCCCCACCTCCTCGGCGAGGGGTTCGCCGACGCCCGCCTCCTCCCCTTCTTCCTCGGCCTCGTTCTCGTTCTCGTCGTCGGCCGGGGGTTCGTCGTCGTCGCGGGGCGCGCCGTCCCCCCGCAAAATCCCCTCCTCGGCGCTCGAACACGTCGGCTCGTCGTCGTTGTCGTCGTCGTCGTCGTCGTTGTCGAGGTC